GCGTGGCTTCAGCCTGTTGCCGGGGTCGGCGCCATCCAGGAAGCAGCACCCGGCCTCGGCTCCGTGGCCCGTGATCAGCAGTCGAGGGGCCAGTAGCACCTCCCCTCCCAGAGGCCCTGTTGCCTGGCTCCTTGCCGGTGCCCGGTTGGCCAGTGCATGGCGGCGGCTCCTGCTCCTCATCGTGTTCTTCCCAGTCTAGAGCTTTTGTCTCCTTCCCGCTAGGGCAGTCTAGCATCAGAGACAACAGACTGTCCTCTGTGCGCAATGTGCGCGACTCTGGGGGCTCTGCCTTTGGCTGCTCCCCTGGGATTCTGCCTCACAGCCCAGGGTCCCTCTGTTTAAGCCTGGGTCCCCAGGGTCTGGCCTAGAACCGGGGTTCAGAGCAGTTAGAACTGGGACTCAGCACAGCCGGAGCTTTTGTTTCCTTTCCGCTAGTGCAATCTAGCATCAGAGTCAACATTCTGTCCTCTGTGCGCAACGTGTGCCACTCCGGGGGCTCTGCTTTTCGCCGCTCCCCTGGGATTCCACCTCACAGCCCCGTCTCCCTCTGTTTGAGCCTGGGTCCCAGGGTCTAGCCTAGTACTGGGGTTCAGCGCTGCCGGTTCTGGGGTTCAGCCCAGTCCAGGGCTTTTATTTCCTTCCTGCTAGGGAACACCAGACGGGTACTCAGCCTCCCCCTCCTCTCTGGCTCCGTCCTCTCCGCACACACGCACGCAGCATGTCTTCGTACCTTAGGCTTTTACAGCTCCTCTGATTTTCCTTCTGGTTTTCTCTTTCCTTCTTGTTGTAGAGTTTTCAGTCAGTTGACTTCCTGTAGCTCTGGGCAATGTCCATTTTATATTTTAGTTGTATTTTATTGAAATTGTGTGTGGCTGGGGTTAGGTGTTTACCTGTGCAGCCATCTTGGATCCTCCTAGTAAACTATTCTTGACCTCAAGTAGAAAACAAAACAAATTGCCCTTCCATTACCACAGCAACGACCTGAAGTAAATCAGAAACCACATACAAACCACAGTATTTCACATATCTTTGCCAACAAATGGTTTGTTCCTCCCAAATTCACCCACCATTTTTATAAAAGAATGATTACTAATCACCCACGTGAAGACTTGACTTTCCTCTAGCACTGTGGGCTCAAGTGAAAGCCATCTTGTCCCTGAGGTGGGGTGACCAACAGTCCCACTTTCCCCGCGACCTTCCATTACCACAGCCACCACCTGAAGTAAATAAGAAATCACCATACACATCACAGCCCTCAGGGTCATCAAACACTGAAGCAAAGAGCACAGAGTCATTTAAAGTAGGCAAAGGTTACAGATTACTTCACGCAGACTGTGACGTCAAAGACATAAGGGCTTCCAGACAGAGGACAAGTGTTCACGTTTCTTTGCCTACAAACGTTAGCACTGAAGTTCAGTGTCCTGGAAAACTCCCCAGGCCCAGGTAAACAGGACAGGTGGCCACCCTCCCCCAGGGAACATTGGGTAATGTCTGGAGACATTTTTGATTGCTTGATTGGTGTGTGTGTATACATGTGCGTGCGTGTGTGTGTGTGTGTGTGTGTGTGTGTGTGTACTATCGGCACCTAGTAAGTAGAGGTCAGGAATGCTACTAAACGTTTTACAACACACAGGATAGCTCACAACCGCAAAGAATGCCCAAGGCCAGTAGTGCAGCGTTTGAGGAACTCTTCTCTGGCACTTGCCTGCTTCAGATATGGTCTTGAACCAGCAGTTTGGACACGATGTAGAAACTGCATGTTGGAAATGCAGACTCTCAGGCTCTCCCCAGATGCAGTGACTGGAAATTGGCCATTTAACCTGCTCTCAGGTGATTGGATGCCCATTAAGTCTTGAGAAGTGCTGCTCTCGTACACCCACTGCTTGTTCTGAGTGGTATCAGCAGGACTTGGTTTTCCACATCAATAGGAAGCACTGGTCCGCAGGCTGACGCTCTATCTGCTGAGCCAAACCAGTTTCGGCTATTCTTAATGTTTTGAAGAGCCTCCATACTGTTTTCCACAGTGGCGAGACCAATCCACACTCCCAATGGCAGTGTACAAGGGTTCCTTTTTCTCTACAACCTCTCCAACACTTATTTCTTGTCTTGTTGATAATAGCCATTTTAACAGGTGTGAGGTGGTATCTCATTGAGGCTTTTATTTGCATTTTCATTTAAGCTAATGAAGTTGGGACATCTTTTCAAATATTTGTTGGCCAATTGTATGCCTTCTTGGGAGAAGTGTCTGTTCAGGTCCTCTGCCCATTTTTTAAATTGGATTATTTTTTGTTGTTGAGTTGTAGTAGATCTTTATATATTTGAACTCCAATTTCTTAAAGATCTTTGGACAATTATATAGTAACTGCTCCCTAGATCTTTCCTGGGTAGCTAGTGGGCTGTGGGAGGGGCAGCCAAGTGCTGCCAAAACAACTGAAACTTAAAAGAACATTGTAGATTACTTTGTTTGTCCCTGACTATAAAAAGCATCAGCTTTGCAGTCTGGATCTGTTCTGTGGCCTCAGCCAGGCACAGAAGATCCACCTAGACCCAGCTTATTCTCTTTTTTCTCCATCCTTCACTGCCCTTCCTCAGGCTCGCCGAATCCTTGGCTGTGCTGGCGCGACACACACACACACACACACACACACACACACACACACACACACACAAAATTACCAAAATGATGCCCTCCTAAGCCAAGCATTGTTATCTCCTAATGTCCAAGAGTATCTCCCACAGGATGTCAGATATTCAAAATAAACTCAGGAATGAACAGTTTACCATTTTCAGAGTTGAAATTCAAACCTTCTGAAGCCCCTTTAGATGGCATACAGTGAACTTTATCCTCTGTGTTGGCATCGGGCTAGGCTGGGGTTTAGACTTCCTTGGGGCTCAGGGGGAGGGGCAGTGGCTCAAGGCTGCCCTCTCTTGTGGCATCAACCTGCCTGTCCCTGGCACAGGCACTCCATATGTGTTACGCCCACACCTGCTCTTCTTCCCAAGTCCATATTACAGGAAAGGCCACCACCTGAGGAGCCCATATCTGTCTCTGACCTGGACTAGCCATCCACACCCATGAGATAGAGTGGACACATGCAGCAGTGGGTCCCAAAGTTCTCAGCATTTTCCTTAACCCTGGCACATGGGAAGCCCTGGACAGCATTTATTGAGGTGTGTGTGTGTGTGCTGGAGGACAGTGGGAGAGCTCACTTATCCTTGAGAGGGTAGTTGTGTGACCTTTGATGTATTTGAGCTGTCCATCCTAAGGCCCCACCACAGAAGCTCCTTGTGGACAGCAGCTCTGGCTGGAGCAGGGTTGGCTTCATGAGTGTGTGGCCTGTGCAGTTATTTGACAGATATTTGGCACCTCTTGTTTGCTGGCACTGTTTTAGGCACCTTTGGTGTGCCGGCACACACATATAAAATTCCCGTCTTCATGGAGCTCACATTCTACTGAAGGGGACTGAGAGGGAAGGGGTTATCAAGTGTGTGTGGAAGTTCCTATGGGATGTATATGTTTATTCAGGAAGCTCAGATAAGATGTATAAGGTATATATATACTGGATGTATAGACAGGATATCTATCTGACTATCTATCTATCTATCTATCTATCAATTTATAGATACTTATATATATGAAGTACAGATAGGATGTGTGTGTGTGTGCGTGTGTGTGTGTGTGTGTGTGTCTAGTCCCCAAAAATGTATACACACTGTGAATGATTTTAATGGCAGTGTTTATTAAAATAATTTCAATTTCAAACTGTAATAGAAACTAGCTGTTAAAATGTGTACACATTCTGGGGGACTATATATATATATATATATATATGCACCAGGAAAGGCTTCATTGAAAAAATAAGGCCATTTTCCTAGGGTGAATGTACAAATCCTGCTGAGGTTTCAAAGAGGATTATTGGCCTTAGAGATCTACTTCAGAACTATTGGATCACATTTTCTCTGATGTCGTGGCTGAGGAAAATCTTCTCCATTGATAAGAATGTGGCACATTGGAGAGAGATTTAATTTCACCCTGCATGAAGCTGATGGCTGTAGCCCATGAGCTGCATTATGCTGGTTTGTAAATCATAAGTAAATACAAAAACAGAAAAGGTAACTTTTGAGAAAGACCTGAAGGAAAAGAGAATCTGCAGAAATGGAGGGGTCTGGATAGTTGGAGAATTCCAAGCAGAGAGAAGGGAAAGAAGAAACTTCTGAGGAAATAGCTGCAGACACCATGCTTAGTCAGTGTGTCTGAAATGGAGAGAATAATACAAAGAGTGAAAGTGATGGGGAAGCAGATCTTATAGAGTCTGGCAGGTTATAGGAAGGGCCTTGAATTTTTCTGTGACTGAGATGGGAAGCCATTCCTTAGACATTAGACATGATCTGACTCATGTTTTACTAGATGATCCTGGTTTCAGTGATGAGGATAGACTGGAGAAGGTCAAACAGGAGGAGAGACCAGTTAACAGATGATTGTAATATTCCAGGTAAAACATAATTGTGGTTTGGGCACTCAAGTGGTTGAGTTTCGGTTTTATTTTAAATGGAAAGCCAACAGGCCATAAGTAGGGTGACCAAAACAAAAGAGTAAGGGATGAAACTAAGAGTTTGTAACCTGGGCAAACAGAAGAAGGGAGAGATGCTGGTTCAGGGAGAATATCAGGGATTCCATTTGGGTAAGTTAAGTTTTGAGGTGTCCATTGGTCATCCAAGCAGATGTCAAGCAGGCAGTCAAGTTAAAAAAAATCTTGATTAAAGATATAAACCTAAAGTCATCAGCATATAAGTAAATAATATTTGAGTGAATCTAGGTGGAAAATAATTTTTAAAGATGTTCAAACCTTCGAGTTTTCCTGACACTGGAGCTGTTGCCAGTGGCACAGGTACACCCTCGTCCATGTCTCTCACACTCTGAGGGGCCTGACTGCAAGGCTTAGTAGAGTGAAGACAGCAACACATGGGATGGCTGTGTTTTCACGAGTCTCCAAAAAAAAATGATAACACGAAAAAAAAACAGCTCATCAGTTGGATTAATCTCAATCATTATTGTGAGTTTATTTTATCCTATAACTAGTTCAAATTTTCACATGATTAAGGGATATTCATGGCTATAGAACAGGACTTGGACTTGAGAGTCCCCACAGACACCTCAAATCTGGATTTAATCTACATATGATCATCTTTAGGTAAGAGCTCTCCTGTATGGCCATGTTCTTGGCCTTCAGCCTTGAGAGAAGCATCATTAGAATTATCTTCCTTCTGATAACCTAAGATGGAGATTGAGAGCCATGATGCATCTTGGGAGCACTTCATGCTAAAAAGCCTAGTAATTTATTTCTGGTGGAATCTGGCCAGGTGGATCAGAGGAAGGAATCTGTTGAGGCATTTCTGGAGTCACACTCGAGGTACCTGGCAGGCCATCCTTCTTCAAGGCCTCATTTTCAAGAGGTTTTATGCTCTCCTGCATGAACATGGTCTCCTTTGTAGAAACAGCTCCGGACATTAGTAGCTAAATAGAAAAGCAAAAAAAGCAAAAAAAAAAACAAACACAAAAAAAGCAAAAAAAAAAAAAGTTATTAGCAGAGACTAAAACACACTTGGTATGGCAAGAACACAATACTGCCATTTTCATGTGCAAGACTAAGAATGAAATGGGAACAGACTTGCCCTAGCAAAGCATAAAACAAAAAGCTGATAGGATAAGATGATTCAGCAATAATCTAACTGCCCACCAGAACAAAACTAAACATTGATTGGTTGCCTCCCAGATGGCCCCGACCAGGGATCAAACACACAACCTGGGTATGTGCCCTGATTGGGAATTGAAACCAGTGACCCTTCTGTGCCTGGGATGGTGCTCAGCCAACTGAACCACAGCTAGACTTAAAAAAAAACCCTATTAATTGTTTGTGAGAAAAGCTGAGCATATTGTATAAATGTAAATAAGCTTAATATTTTCATGTTTCCAAAGTGGACTTTGGAAGCTAGCAAAAGCTAGTTAATTGTATAAAGGTTTTAATGTATGGGATATAACATAATAATAAAGTTGTCGGGTATCAAGCCCAATAAGTCAATTTCCTATCTGAGTATCATATACTTTGCAGAAAACATCAAGTGACACATTTTCCAGAAGATTGTGGCAAAAAAATTATGGAGATGAAAGATATGCTTGTCCAATTACTCCAAGTTATGAATTTATGACTACCATTACAGCATCACAGAGGTGGCATCTGTGGCTTGATCATAAATAAATAGTATGCAATAAAGGAGACATTCAAGTCAATAGTATAAATAAAAGAATATACCTAAAGTATATAATGGTAACCATATTTGGTTTCTGAAAAATATTTAATAATTATTGAAAAACGCCCTGGCTGGTTTGGCTCAGTGGATAGAGTGTTGGCCTGAGGACCAAGGGGTCCCGGGTTTGATTCTGGTCAAGGGCACATGCCTGGAATTGCAGACTCGATCCCCAGTGGGGGGCGTGCAGGAGGCAGCCAATCAATTATTCTCATCATTGATGTTTCTCTCTCTCTCTCCCTTCCTCTCTGAAATCAATAAAAATATATTTAAAAAATAAAAATAAATATTTTTTAAAAAGGGCTCAAAGGATCTTGTATAAAAAACATGTTTGTTCCAAGTGACATATCAGATTTTTAAAAATTTATTTTAAACCAGTAACATCTAAGGTATTTCCTGAAATCTAAAAATGGAATTGCCTTTAAACATTTTCTTTTTCCACTGATAATGATCTTATTGACAGAGGTTGTCAATAGACGGGTTTGTAAACAGGAGGGAAAAGTAGGCTGTGGGGGCCTCAGCCTGCCTTGCGCCGTGGCCAGGCTGACAGTGGTACCAGCTCTGGGATGTGTGCCCAGTGCTGAATCCCACCTCCCTACCTGGTGACACTTTTCAAACTCCTGTTGAATCTGATACTCTTCTTGCTTCAGCATTTCTGTCATTCGGGTTTCCTTGAGACTATTATCATATTCCTCCTTCAGCTGGATCTTCTCCTGCCTGCCCTGGGGTAATGTGACAGGAAATTACATCAGCCCTTGGGAGACATGCACAAGTGGGCCCCTCTCCCTGGGATTGGCCTCCAGCCCTCCAGCTCTCCAGGGCTTTCGTGCCTGCTCCTGGATCAGTTAGCCTGGTGGTGGCTCCAAACCCACCAGCTCCATCACTGTGAGCTGGACTCCCTGAGATTCTGGATATCTGGGCCTAGCCACCATCACAAACTGAGAAACCCCAAACTCCCCAAGCCAGCTGCACAATTCCACCTTGAATTTCAAGTTACTCTGGGAAAACTCCTCAGGCTGATCCAGGGCACACACACCTCTTCCTGAACTTCAATGATTTTCTTGTTATGATGAAGCCAATGAGCCAGGTACTCTATGGGGTCACTGGGCCGAACCTTCGCCACCTCTGCCAGTCCCTGGGCAAGCAAAGTCCCAAAGCACTTCTTCAGGTATTCGACTTCCATCCTGTGGGCTTGGGACACATCAAAAGAGTCACACTATTTTTTAAAATAGACACATTCTAGCCAATAAGAATTTATTTCAGGATAGATATGAGATGTTTCTGGATCCCACCCTCCCCAAAGAATCAATAAATACATACGTGCCAATAGCTCTTACATTGAAATGGCCTTTTTCCTAAAGTCCTAGATCAGATAGTAGATGCTGGGCTGTTCAGGCATGACAAGAACTTGATTGATGGCTAAGGGTGGCTAAGGCCTTTCCACTTACCCACATGTCAACCCTTGCATGGAGAGGAAATAACTGAGCAGAAATGGGACCGCACAGGGGCTCTGAGCACCCAGCAAGCTGTGCTATTGTGAGGTAGGAAGTCACCTATGACATAATAAGATAGGCTTATTTATTTCACCAGGGATCACGGGGGAGTGGGAGGGGAATGCCAGGCACTGTAGCTACTGCTGCCAGCACTAAAACAGTGTTCCTCTCTCTATTTTAGGCAAGAAACTGCTTTAGGTTGGGTTGGTGCCCCGGGATTCACTGATTTCAAGAGCCGAGGCAATACAGCCTGAGTTGGGCCACAGGCAGGAGTGGTCCTGGGATGCAGCAGCACAAACGCAGGCTCTGGGGTTGGACATACCACGTTCCAATCCTGCTTCTGCCATTTATTGGCTGTGTGGTCTTCAGCAAGTCACCAGCCTCTGTGATCGTTGGTTTTCTCATCTGAAAAACAGAGTAACAAGGCATGTGCCTCCTAACTGTGAGATAATCCTACATAATAAAAGTCTAATATGCAAATTGACCAAACAGCAGAATGACCAGTTGCTATGATGTGCACTGACCACCAGAGAGGCAGACACTCAATGCAGGAGCTTCCCCCTGGTGGTCAGTGCACTCCCACAGGGGGAGTGCCACTCAGCCAGAAGCTGGGCTCACAGCTGGCAAGTGCAACAGACTGCAAGAGGGCTCCAGGACTGTAAGAGGGCGCAGGCTGGGCTGAGGGACCGCCCCCCCAAGTGAATGAATTTCATGCACCAGGCCTCTAGTAAGTATATATAAAGCACTAAGCCTGGAACATAGTGTTTAATAAATACTAGCTATTGCCATGGAAATTTGTGGTATGAAATGGCCTAACATCTGGCCTGTTCCTGACCAACTGCATATTCCTCAAGTTTATGTATTTTAACTCCAAAAGAGTTACTAATAAAGTGACTAATTAAGGCTTAGGTCCAGTCTTAACATTTTCTGGAGGCACTTCTCAGTTTAAAGAAGAAAATATAGTTAGATACATAGATATGAATATAGAAAAAATATATATTTCATAGCTCTTCCCACTGCAAAGCCTAGATGCAAAACCACCACAGTGGCAATGAGCACACTGAGCATTCATTTGTCTTTAAATGGCTGTTACCGCTTAAAAGGAATCAGGGCTCCTTGGAGATATTTTGTTGTCCCAGAAAAAAAAAAAAGTTGAAAAATGGCTGGGGACACAAGAGCCAGTGTGTGAAGGGGATGCTACTGGCCAAATCGGAGGAAATGTAATAATCAAAATACATAATGGATTACAACTGAGTAAAATAAGGATCCATGAGTCCATATAAAAGTAAATAGTAAGTGAATGGGAGAGACAGCATATAAATACCAACTAGTAAGTGTGGGAAAAAATAATGGAGCTTTAAATAATCACCATTTTATAGCCATCATAGTATAACTGAATCAAGACAGAATCATCAATGAATAATAAAACTATTTGAAAAAGAACAGAATATTTATATAGCCTCAAAGTTTCTCCCTACACATTAAAGATTAAGTCCAAAGGGAAACAGAAGCCTTACAATGATAAAACCTGGCCAACAAAACCTTAACCAAAATATCAAAACAAACATCATCCATAAGGCACAGTGACAGCCCGTGTCTCCTGATGGGATACACTTCTCAGTGGTACATAGCACATTCCTGTGGGTTCCTGTCTCAAAGGCAAAACTTGAATCCGATTGAGGAAACATTAAACTAAGCCAAATTAAGCTACAGTCTACAACCGACTTGAACTCTTAAAAATGCCAACGTCATGAAAGGCAAGAAAGGGATGAGGAACCATTCCAGATCAATGGAGCCTAAACAGGCATAACAACAAGCACATGCTCCTGAATTGGATCTGGAGCAGAAAACATTTTCTATAAAGGACATTGTTAGGAAAATTAGGTAAATGAATGTAAATTGTAGCTTACATACCAGAATTACATCAAGGTCAAATTTCCTGTTTTTGGTAGTTGAACTATAGTTGAAAAAAACATTTTCCTGTTTTTGGTAGTAGTCCTAGATCTTAGGAAATACACAGTGTGGTCAGGCTGAATAACAGCTCCCAAAGGGGTCCAAGTCCTAATGCCTGCAACCTATGATATGTTACCTTATATGACAAGGACTTGGCAGATGTGAGTAAATTGAGGACTTTGATTTGGGGAGATTATCCAGACTATCCAGTTAGGCACAATGTACCTATAGGGCCTTTATAAGAGGGACGGGACAGTAGGTCAGACAGAGATGTGATGATGGAAAAGGAGGGAGGACAGGTGATGTGACCCAGCTCCCTGAGAAATGAGGGCTGCCTCCAGCAGCAGGAGAAGGCGAGGAGATGGATTCTCTTCTAGAGCCTTCCTGTTTTTAGCCCCGTGAGACTCATTTTAGATTTCTGACTTCAAAAACTGTAAAAGAATAAATGTGTGTTTGAAGCCACTAAGTTTGGGGTATTCAGAAGGAGTCCCCCCAAGATGTGCCTCTGTGATATGCAGATTGTTTTGAGCTAAAGGCAACCAAGACCAATCGGGCTCCAGAGAAGCTTCCTCCCCCTCCCCCTACAGCACGCAGTTAGACATGAGCCAAGCAAGCATGAAGGGACAGGTAGAGAAGGTCGCAAGGTGGAAAGTCCCAGGTGCCTAGCAGTGGACAAAGGCAGGTTGGGACCTTATCCTCAGGGTAGCAGTTTCCCCTAGCATGTCACTGGTCATGCGGTTTGGACTCCCTGACCTTCCCTCCCTGGAGATTACATCTAGACCTCAGTTATATTTCAGCTTCAGGTCCAGAAAAGCAGCCAAAACAGACAAGCGATGCTGACCTCAGGACCAGCTGCATTAACTAATGACCCCCACCTGGGACCAACCAATCAGTGGAGACCACTGCCCTGAAAGGACACACCTGGAAAACTGATGAATATTCTATTGCGATTCTCCCCTGGGACCTCACCTAGCTGTTAGGGCAGTGACCAGTGCTTTCCATGCCCACACTATTTCCCTCCCCACCTCTTCCCCCAGATGAGCTACCATTACCTTCCTCACTCCCAAGCTCCAAGGGCCTTTCTTTTGCCTCCGTAACTTGTTTCCTGAGCCATTTGTTCCAGCACTCACTTCTTCCACCTCTGTGATTCCACCCCGCACCCTCCCCATGCCCACCCTCCTGTGATTTTCTAAGTAAATGTTCTCTTATAGTTTGAGTCTTGGCTCTGAATTCTTTTCGAGCCCGAACTCAAGTACCAAGCTTGCTGAACTGAGGTCCAGTCTGACCCCACCAGTCTAACACCTGGTGCCATTTTCCTCACCACCAACACCACCAACTACCTAGAAGAATTTAGATTAGGGACTTTGCCCACAGTAAGACATTATGAGAAATAACATTTTTTGAGGGCAGGGAAAACTTCTAATTACTGAAAATCTGCTCTTCTTAGTGTCCTGCAATGACCCACCTCCTTCTCAAGTCCCTCGGTGATCTTTAGCTCAGAATGTCATATATATCTAATTCTCCCCTTTCTGTCTTTGAACCTCTCATGTATGAGGGGTCTCTGACTCATATGTGCAGGGTTCCCATACATATGTATGTAATTAAAGTTGGTCATTTACATTTGTTAATCTGTTTCATGCCTAATTAATTATTAGACCAGCTGACAGATCCTTAAGAATAAAACTTCTTCTCTTACAGAGGTAGTGGTGGAGGGTGGGGATGGGGGGTGTGGGTTGTCTCCTTCTGACACCATGTGGCCCACCGGAACCAATGCACCTGGATAACTACCTTCTGCAGTCTACACCCTGTCTACTCCAAGGTGGTTCCTGATCAGCAGCACAGTATCACCTAGGGACGTGTTGAAATGCAGATTTTTCAAGTCCCACCCCAGGCCTACAGATTCCATCTACAGTTTAACAAAATTCTCAGGTGGTTCGCGGTTACTGATCTACAATACTTTGCCTTTATCACTGTAGAACGGCCCTTCGGAGAGGGTAGAACCACCAAGTTTGCATTCCCAATAAGTCTCTCCACTCCCAGTGCCCGGTGGCTGCCACCCTGTCTGTATGGCAGACCCTTTCCAAAGCGCACATGTTCATCACTGATCTCAGTGAAATATTGTTGACCTGCCAGTTCCCAAGCCCTGCCACAGTAACGACCACAAAGCGAGGCTTGGAGGGGAAGGTGGCAAAGAGATGCCGTGTACAGCCCGCTCCACACGAACTCAGGGCCCACTCTCGCAAAGCGGGGAAGGGGGGGGTGGGAGGGGAGACACGGGACGGGACACGACGACGACGACAGGGGGGCTGTTTTCAGAGTTTCCCAGAGCTGCTGGTTCTCCCAGTTCACCGCCTTGCACTCCGTAGGCTGGGCAATTGGCGTGGAGATGGTTTTTGTTCACACTCTACTCCCAATGCTAGGCACACAGTAGGTGCTCAGGAAATATTTGCTGACTTAATCAGCGAGGACTCTGATGCTTGTGAGCCTAAGCAAGAGCTCATGCTTCCTTCCACCTGTCAGTGCCCACTCAGGCACCGATGACCTCAGCCAGTGTTTAGTGAGGTTTCTCCTGCACAGCACTGCCCGCACACGGGACATTCTGGCTGAGTCAGAGACCGCTGTGGCTTCCGGAGGTGAGGGCACCTGAGCTGGTTCCAAAAGGAACGAAGCAGAGGTTGGCAGCAGGTGCAAAGGCTCCATGTTGTGAAAATGCAGGACCATTGAGCTTGTAGCGATTGTCTCCTCTGGCCAGGTGTCCCGGGGCCGGGGAAGGGGTAGGCTGTCCCCTGCCTTTCACACCCAGGTAGCCCCTGGAGCCTCCTCCCGGGAACCCGCTGTCCCCTTCTCTCTCCCGGTGCGCGCGGGCCGCCCCGCCCAGCTCCTTTCTCTCTTGGGCAGCCCGGTCCTCTCAAGAGCAAGTCTCTGCTCCACCCCAGCGCCCCCTCCTCTTGGCCTCTGATCCCAGGCCCCCGACCCCCGGCCCCCGACCCCGACCCCCGACCCCGACCCCCGACCTCCGACCTCCGACCCCGACCCCCGACCCCCGACCCCGGACGCGTTCTGTTCACCCAGCAGTGCTTCGTTTCCAGTTTGCGTTGCGCCTCCTTCGCACACAAAGCGCGTTCGCTTGTTGCCTAGCGACGGGATGCGACTTGGGGACCACGTGGGGAGAGCGGCGGAGAGCGCAGGCGCAGTGGGTGCCCGGTGCTCCGCGGGGTCGGGCTGCGCGGCGGTTGGGTGGATCTGGCAGTGGTGTAGGCTTCGGGCTCCCGGGGCCCAGCGGGGTTAGTGCGGCGCCCCGGGCTCGGCGGCCGCTCCGGGGGGCTCCCGCCTCCTCCTCCTCCGCAGCGAGGAGCGGCCCGGCCGGTGGGGGCGGGGGCGCTTCGGGGGCCCCGACGGCAAAGGACCGCGAGCGCCCCATCCAGGTGGCCTGATGCATACAGGACTCCCAGTTAAACTTGCATGTCAGAGAAACAAGGAATGGTCTCTGAGTACAAGTGGAACATAATAAACACCAGTCGTTGTGTATCTGAAATCCAAATTTAACTGGGCATCTGTGTACTGATTCGCTCAATCTGACGACCTGCTCGAATCCCCCCTTTCCCACTGAGCCGGCTGCCACCCCCCCCCCCCCCCCCCCCCCCCCCAGCGGGCCAGGGACCTTTTTCTGTTTCTCATACTTCTCCTGGTTCCACGCGGCTGGTGCTGTGGGAAGGGGCTTTCTTATATGAGAAATAACATTCCTTAAAACAGCCTTGGAGAGATGAGATGGGCGTTATCGCGATTTCAGGGACAGGAGGCTCACCTGGGTCCTCTCCTGTGCGATGCGCCCACCAATCTGAGACTGACCCTCAACGGGGCCGCTCTGGGGCCAGAGGTTTTCCCCATTAGGGTCCTGTCCCCCTTCCTGTGTGTTATCTGTATGGAGCAGCAGCAAGAATCCGCACCCCCCCCCCCCGCCCTTATTTGATCTTACTCCACTTCCAATGATACTGAGATGTCAATGTAGTTATTTTTGTTTTTAGAGTCTATCCCATTGAAGGAATACAGTGAAGATACCGTGTTCCAAATTCAGTTGTGATAAGTCTTTTCTCTGTGTGATTAAGATACCAATGTCAGTCAGAGTTTTAGTTTGTTTGTTTTTATTCCATTGACCTACACAAGCATGCTCATTCTTTTCTCCACTGTGGCTGCTAATATAAAAGGTGGCATACACTTTCTCCACCTTGTTTTTCTTTTCTTTTCACACCGTGTCCTAGAGATTCCTCCTTTCCTTTTAGTCACCCATTGCGTGGCTAATCTCACCAATTCCTTGATGATGACCTTTGGATGGGATTCCAGTTTGGGCATTCTAAGTACTGGTGCAAAATAACCCTGTGCATATTTGACTTCATCTTTTTGTAAGCAGGGATTCTAGAAGTGAGACTGGATGGGCAAAGGGTAAATACATGTGTAACTTTGTAGATGTTGCCCAATTCCTCTTCTTAGGGATTATACCATTTTGTACTCTCACCACCATAGTGTGAGGGAGAGCAGTATTGGAGTCTACGGACCAATATCAGGAGGTCATTTTTTTTTTTTAATTAAGTATAGTTGAAATACAATATTCTATTAACTCCAGGTGTATGACAGAGTAACTCAGCATTTACATACCTTGCACTGTGATCACCACACTAAGTCTAGTAAACATCGGCCATGGTGCAAAGTTATCACAATAGTATTGACTATGTTCTCCACCTTTTTCATCTGTCCCTCCTACTCTCATCTGGTAACCATCAGTTTGATCTCTGTTTCTATGAGTCTGTTTTTGTTTTTAGATTCCACATGTAAGTGAAACCATATGATATTTATTTTTGAAAACATTTTTGTAAAATGTTAGGTGCATTTGTTCAGGGACAGGTCTAGATACACTGGTATTCTACCCGCTATAATACTCATGCCTGACATATAGTAGGTAATCAGTCTGTATGTATAGATATAGATATAGACATATAGATATAGATAACTATATATATGTATCTATGTACACTGAGTGGCCAGATTATTATGATCTCTGAGTGCATAATAATCTGGCCACTCACTCGGTGTATTTGTATCTCAAATGGGTACCAAAAGTATTCTAGACTTTTGCTGGAGATCAACCTCCTATTTGCCCTGAGCTTTCTATCAGCCCGTGCAAAGGGGAAACCTGATCAGGTGCACGCTTTATAGTATCTTTGATATCTAATAAATGAGGTGCTCAAGAGAAATACACTGAGTGGCCAGATTATTATGCATTCAGAGATCACAATAATCTGGCCACTCAGTGTATATAGATAAATATAGATATGCCAGAGGGGAGGGAATTAAGAAGTAAAAATTAATAATTACAAAATAGTCACAGAAATGCAAAATACATCATGGGGAGTACAGTCAATAATATTTAATAACTATGTATGATGCCAGATGGGTACTAGAGTCACTGTGGGACCACTTTGTAAATTACATAATTGTCTAATCATTATGCAGTATACCTGAAACTAATATAAAATAATATTGAATGTCAACTATAATGGAAAAATAACATTTTATATATATCCAGCAGAGTCTGGATTCCATAAGGATAATTTGAGAATGATCAATTTTTTCATAGCATCTGAGATGTAATGGTTGTTACATTTCTTTCTTTTAAAAATATCTGGTTTAAGGTTATTCCTGTCCATCTTCATAACTGATAGACTGGGAGAGTAGAGAACTCATTCTTTTGCCACGATGGAGAACCGGCTGTGTCACCCTGTGACTCAAACACTCCTGGAGGAGCTAGAGGAGCTTGTCATTTGGTGTGAGGACAGACAGGTGTATTACAGACAGTTCTCAGTGTGACAAGTGCTGTGTGATCTGCTTGGGGAAGGAGGAATGTCTGCATTGCTGGGAAAGCTTAGGGAAGGAGAGGTGACCTATATCTTGCAGGTGAGGAGATACTGTCCACGCTGAGGGAGAGGGAGGCATCTTCATGTACAAAAGTCGTGGAGATGGAAATGTGCAGGATGTGATGAGCAGAATGGCAGGATGTTCAATGTAGCTAGAGCCCAGGGTATGTGGGAGCAGAAGAGTTGTCTGGAGTTGAGCTTTGAAAGTGTCAGGAGCCTCATGTGGTATTCTTTGAAAGTTTAAATTTTTTTATTTTTTGGACTTAGCGATTCATGAACTTTTTTTTTTTTTTTTTTTTTTTTTTTTGAGGTGGACTATGTGATGTTTTCTAAAAATGATTCCCATGGCTTGGGAGGAACATGTTAGTACAGACATTAGGGTGACAACTCTGGACTCAGGAGTTGGGTATGAATCCCACCTCTCCCATGTGCCACCTGTGTGATCCTAGACTGTTCACTTATGCTTTTGTGCCTGGGATTCCTCATCTGAAAAATGACATCCATTCTTCAGGTATGTTGTGAGGATTAGGTGAGACATGCACTGTGTGGCATATAGTCCTCTCACAATCAATAAAGACAGTATCCCTCTTCTGCTCTTGGACTTGAGGGCTCTTCTGGATTTTGAAACTATTTCAGCTGTAGTGACTTCTGTGGAGCCTTGTTTTAGAAACCATTAGGGGCCAGCTTGCTTGTGTCATCATGATGTGAGATTCCCAGGACTGGTGACAGAATGTAATGCTTTGTTGGCCTTACTGGATTCTACTTTTATTGTGCCTTCATTGAAAATTTCCTGTATTAATGCAAAAACATCTTTTAGAAGTTCGGAGTTAGAAATGGAGTCAATATATCTTCAAAAGCATCTTGGGAAATGTCTAACTCAAGGTCTTGCAGAAGTGGCAAAACATCGCCCAGTGGATCCGATAGAATATCTAGCATTGTGGATTTACAAGTATAAGGAGAATGTGACCATGGAGGAAGTGGTAAGCATGGATCTTCTTTTAGAAATGTAAAAGAGTAAAATAATTGGTCCCATTCGTCTGCTTCCTAAAGGAGTTCGTTACTGTTGTTTTCTAATATAAAAATAGTGTGTTTATTTCACAAAAACTTGGACAACATGAAAAAGTAGAAAGAAGAAAATTCCCAAAGAAGACCACTATTTATATTTTTAAGTATTTCTTCTTTCCCCCGCCCCTAAACATTTGTCTGTAGATTATTGTACACAATTATGATCCTACTCAGTGTATAATTTTAATTCTGTGCTCGTTATTCAAGTAAAACACACATTTCCCCAAATTATTATATAGTTTCCAAGAAAAATACAGCGCTTCCCAAATTATTATACAGCTTTCCCAAATTATTATACAGTTTTCAAATAGACTATACTTAATCCTTTCCCAACTGTTGGTGATTAAGATGCTTCCCAAATTGTTTTTGCAAGTTGTGCTAATTAGTCATGTGATACTGTTTTTAACCGATGGTAGAGACAAAAGGAATTAGCTGACCTGAAGCATGAAAGAGAACTAGCCCGGCTGGAGCAGGAGCGGCAAGAGAGGCTCAGAGCAGAGGAGCTCCTGTTTCAGCAGGTGAGACAAGGGAGAGGGCCAGAGGCCGCGGAACTAGCAGTGTCAGCCTCGGCACCGTGCAACCCGCATGCTAAGACTCCCCATCCCTGGTTTCTTACATTTGGTTTTCTTATATCTTCATCTTTGTGCATGTGGTGTTTTTGCTGGAGAAGCAGCAGTGAGGCAGAGGGAAACCCAGAGCCGGCTCTCATGGAAGCCAAGGGGAGAGTGTCTTAGTGAGCCCTCCCTGCTTAACCACCTGTAGGCTGGCTGGATGGGAGCAGGACTGCAAAGTGCTCACTCAAGGCCACTAGTGGGACTTTGATGGGAGCAGTGTGGGTGGGGTAGATATGGGGGGAGGGGAGGTAAGTGTTGGTAATGCTTTCGAGCAGATTTTTAGGGAAGGAGATTTTATTTTTCCCTTTTTCTTTTTCTTTTTTAAGAAACATAGTGGAA